TCCCAGTTCGCGGCGGATGCCGCCGTCCCCGCCCCGGCCTCGGGGGGCGACTTCCCAGTGATTTGCCGGTCAATGTTGTTTGTAGCAACGGGTGGAGCGGCGGTGGTGCCCCCGACCCGGGCTGACTCGGTGCCCACGTTTGTACAGTTTCCGTTGGAGTGCGGCGTGTTGGAGATATTGTTGAGCACGGCGGTTGGAATGATGGCTGCGGAGTTGGAGGAGATGGATCGTACAGTGGAGGCCTTCAATGTGGCTTGTCTCGAGCATCATCCGAAGCCGCGAACACTGCACGATCTGCATGAGTTGAAGGAGCCGGTAGATGGCTTTATGGACCGGCTGGCGAACACGGGAAAGGTGTTGGAGCAACTGCTGAATAGCAGTGAAGATATGCGTGGCATGGAACTCACTCGTCTTTATTACTCCCTTTTACCGGATGAGGCCACCGAGCGTGATGAAGATGACTACAACCCCAATCTCGAAATCATGTTTGAATACTTCGATCAGGAACTCGATCAAATGACACAACGAGCCTCCAAGGTGCAGCGCGTACTCGCTAACGCAGAGCGACACATCAACTTGAAACTTTCGCTCATGCGCTCCAAGTTCCACATCTTCGATATCATCAGTGGCATCCTAGGCGTAGGCATCGCCGCAGGCAACGGTATCAGCGGCATCTTCGGAATGAACCTGCGCTCCGACCTCGAAAACTCCAAAACCTCCTTCCTCCTCTCCGTCTCTGCCATCGTACTCCTCGCCGCCACCAGTGTACTCATTGCCTGGTACTTCCGCGCTCGCTACGTCTGACCAACCAACCATACGGGGCCCAGCCCGGGTACATGAGTGTGCTAAGACCTTGGGCGATAGACGTCGTGGGTGCCTAATAGAAGCCTCGGTCGTCAAATAAGAGATCGTCTGCCCGCACTTTCCGGAGGGCGCTGCTTCGGTCGTAGTTCCGCAATACGTCCGACTGAACCTTCACGATAAAGTCAGGTCCTTCTCTCTTCCGGGCTCTCTCGCGTTCGGCCTCACTCCGTTGAGCAGCTTGCATCCTCTCCACGCGGTCTCTCCGCTCGAGACTCACGGCGGCGGCCAGTGTCTCCATCTCGCCCCTCGTGATGGGTGCGCCCCTCCTGCTAGGTACGCCACCTTCAGTCGCCGCTTTCTCGTGTTCCGGCATGGGTGAGGCTGGCTCATCCTCGGTCTTGAACATTTCACTACGGGCCTGTTGTCGTCGCCGAATGCTCTCTGCCATCGCTGGTGGCGGGCCAAGCGACCTCTCATCATCTGAACCCCCGCCGTGCACCAAGCCACTTGGATTACAACAGCCAGCGCCAACAAGGCATGAGCCGCTTTCGTCCTTTGGCCGACTGTACGGCCCGCGTCTCTCGTATGAAGACCGCCTGTTACGATTCCCCCGCACTTGATGTACAAATCTGCGATTATAACGATCAGGACTGTCACCCCGTTCTGTTCCCCGGTTGCCATCTCGTTCATTTCCCCAGCGCTCACGACATTCCGCCTCCCTTCTTGCACCATAACCGTGCTCTGGCCTAAAGTCCTGCTCGAATCTTTCGTATCTGCCACGATCCCGATCCCGATTTTGATGCAGGTGGCCGCCGGCACGGTCACCCGGCACGTAGTAATTGCTATCGCCGCGGGTTCTGGGTTCTTGAGGCGCGTGCTCTTCATCCCGCCAGCCTCGTATGAACCGCCCTGTCTCTTGGTCGTGGCGTCGCTCTTGGTCGAGGGGTCGTTCTTGGTCGTGGGGTCTGTCTAGGTCGTGGGGTCTTTTTTGGTCGAGGGGTCCGTGTTGGTCGTACAGCAGTTTCGGGTCCGGTTTGGTGGGTGGTATGAGATCTTCGGGGGCGACGTCAGGCCTTTCCCAGCGTGCCTTTGTGAGTGTGTGCAGTTGTGTGCGCGACTTGACTTTCCTCTCTTTCATGACTTGTGCTTTCATGACGAGCATGAGGGGGTCTTCGCGGAGTTTTCGTTGAAGGTCGGCGTCGTCGACGTTTCCGTATTTGGACACCTCATTCAGAACGTAGGGTCTTTCTTCTTTTTGTTTTTCATTTCCGGTCCCTGTAGTACCTGTGTTCTGCGAGAATATACGTGCATGTTCCTCGTTGGCGGTGACCCATTGCAGGACATTGCTGGTCTCGTTGGCTGCATGTTCTTTTCGAAGTTCCAACAGTCGTTTTTCCTGGATTCGTTTCGACTCTAATTCTTTCTCCTTCTCAGCTGCCTCCGCAGCCTTCTGCTCGGCCACCCACACCCGTTCCATGTTCTTGTAGTTGCCCGGATGGAACGCTTGTGGAGTATGAAGGACGCAGCCTTCTGCGAGATGTTGTTGATATGCATCTTGGCTAGTTCTCAAGTTGACTTGGTGTTGACTTCTCTATTTCTTCTCAAGTCGGAACAACCGATAAGCATTAAATCCACCACGGAGGTATTTCTGATCCCCGACGGGCAATTTATTTTTCCGCCCTATCGCCGGCCGAGGTCGCAACCACAGGCCCGTCGAGTGCGCCATACTAACTACGCACGGTGCTTGCACTAACACGAGAGGGGGAGAGGATGGAGCAAAGAACTTAGAGTAAAGAACTTAGAGTGCTGTGCAAGTTACGAGGTCCAGATACCTGTTCAATTTGTATGCGCGACAGGGAGCCGTGATAGGGAGGCGTGATGAGTCTTGTGGGAAGCATGTAAGTTGTCACCGGGAAGGCGGCCCCCGTGGCGTATCGCTGGTGAACCATATCGCTAGGGAGTGAGTTGCCGTTGACGTTGCGAGCGGTGTGCGTGTGCATGTCTTGGCTGTGGGATTGAGATGCGATCGAGCGCTGGGTTGTTGGTTAGTTATTGGTGGTTAGTGGTTGCGAAGGACTGCAGTTATGTGTGCTCCCTCAATGAAAATGCGGTTCCTTCAAGTCAGTGTCTCCAGCTATGTACGAATGGGTCCTCGTTGACTGCCCCCTGCAGCGAGGACTGCTACAACGTGGACGCTTGTTTCCATGCCATTAGTATCGGGTATGACGCGAGTGCGGACCAGCAGAGCTACAAAAGCCAAATCACGGACACGGCGGCACAGTGCCACATTAGTTGTATCGGGGATAGAGGCTGTTTTGCCTGGCAGTGGGACATGTCCGGCAGCCACAAGTGTGTTTTCAAGACCGAAGATCAAGTCTTCCGGGCGGCTAGCCAGACAGTCCAAGACGAGAACGGCAACCCAGTGGATGTGGATACCGAGTTCTGTGATAGCAACGCCTATCAGAACCAGAGCATAGTGTGTAACAACGACTACAAGTGTATGTGGTACACCAGAGCAAACCTCACGGGACTTAGGGACTGCAACGAACCTCTGGATACATGCAGCCTTCTAACCACCACGACAACGACCACTACCACTACTACGAAGAGGACCACCACAACCACCCCCACGACAACGACAACCAAGTCGACTACAAAGACAAAATGGACCCTACCCCCAACGCCGCCCACGCTGAAACCCACCACTACCACAACCAAGTCGACTACCCCCACCACTACCACAACCCAGTCGACACCAACTTCAAGTTGGGCGAGTTCCACAACGAGACCCACGGCGAGTCCCACAACGAGACCTACGGCGAGTCCCACAACGAGACCTACGGCGAGTCCCACAACGAGACCTACGGCGAGTCCCACAACGAGACCTACGGCGGGTCCCACAACGAGACCTACGACGAGACCTACGGCAAGTGGCACGACAAGCACCACTACCACGGCGCGTCCGAAACGTACGAAGGTCATCATCGCTTCGGCGACCGCAACTGTAGCCGCCATGGCAATCTTTGGTTTCTTGGCTGTTCGACAAAGACGGGACGAGCCGGAGGAGTTGGACGGAGACTTCCACGAGCACGAGACGGAGGAGGAGCAGGAGGCAGATGAGGAGGTGAGTAACCCAGAACAGTGAGGGAGTTCTTGCTCATTACCGAATCGTATTGTCCAACCGTATCGTATTGTCCAACCGTATCGTATTGTCCAACCGTATCGTATTGTCCAACCGTATCGTATTGTCCAACCGTATCGTATTGTCCAACCGTATCGTATTGTCCAACCGTATCGTATTGTCCAACGTATCGTATTGTCCAACGTATCGTATTGTCCAACGTATCGT